AAATATCATAAACTGAAGTCGCTTCATCCTGACTAAAGTATATTTAAAAGAAAATTATTTATTATTTTTTATATTTATTATATTATATATTATTTATTATAAATTATTCTGTCAAGTTTTGGTTAGTTCTAAGTGTCACAAAAAAAACTCGTAACTAACAACGTAGCGCAAAGCACCCCACAAGCTAACCAAGTCACTAAGCATTGTTTACAATTAAATGCTCGCAAATCCGCAGTAATCATTTTTCGCCGAAAGGGTGGCAGGGAGAGATTTTTATTGGATTACCATGCTGTGAAGATTAATAGTAAAAAAATTAAGTTTTGTGATTCGGTGAGAAACTTAGAAATAATAATGGCCAAGGATTTCAGATTTTCAGAGCATATTTCTAAATGTTTACAAAAGGCATATTTAATGTTAAAATTTGTTCTCAAAAATGGTGAATTTTTAAGCAGAAAACATAGAACAATGCTGTGTGAGTCTCTGGTTTTGTCTCAACTAAGTTACGGGGATGCAGTGTATGGCCCTTGTTTAAACTGTTTTGATAAACGCCGAATTCAAAAGCTTCAAAACTCATGTCTTAGGTTGATTTTTGAGATACGAAAGTTAGACACATTAGTTACACACTTCAAAGAGTTAATTGGTTAAATATGAGAAATAGAATATTTCTTCATTCTGCCGTTTTATATTCAAAAATACTAAGTAGAAAGTCTCCTCCATACCTTTTTAATAAAATAAGTTATCTACGATTTAAGGAAACGCTTACTCCGCCAATGCATGCAACTGAAATTTTTAAACGCTCTTTTTCATATAATATTGTTTCATGTTTAAATAATTTGCTAAATAAAATCAAAAATTTAAGCAACCTAAAAGGCTTGAAAACTAACCTTTTTCAGAGACTACTGGATAAGCACATTAAGGAAATTTCTGGGTAACTGTGTACGCTACATGTAATGAAATATTTTACTTTGTGTTTGATTTTCGCCAATCTTTTTTTTTTGTTTAAGTTATAACTTATAAAATTGAAATTCACGTACTTTTTTTTCTCTCTTTTATCGGGTCAGATAGAACAGTATACTAATCTTTAGTAGACTGAATCTCGCCTTTTTGTCAAAATGTTATCTTGTTATTGTTGTATTGTATATCATTCAAATTATTATTATTAATTAAACACCCACCCCACAATGAAACACCCAGTTATCTGATCGATGCGCGATACGTATTATGATACTACGATAAGTGCCACAAAGTGCCATAGAACGATAATAAAAATTGTTCTGGGAGTCGGTAGCGAGTGACTCTTCCTACCTTGTTCTATATTGTTACGTTTGTTTACAAAACGCAACGCCTGCTCGGAATAAGGGTGAAACATTAGAAGCGGTGACTTTGATCAAATTCCGTTCAGTGCTGCTTACTGGTGAGAGGTAGGGGACAATCGGGCAGGGTCGGTCTCAGCTCATTCTACTAGCTCGTCACAATATAATAGCAAATTTAAATTAAATTAAACATTACACTAGGGCTTTTTTTAGAACCCACGTTGCATATTTCGTATGAAATGATAATTCGAAGCTGCATTTTAACGAAACCGATCGGCCGGGCCAATAAAGCGTAAAGTCGATGAGTCTCTCGCGGCTCATTTTCTTCCCGCCAAGCAGGTCCTTTTGTGGGGCCTCGATACGGTTCGCGTGATTCCTCCACTTTCTATAAATAAATAACAATTGAAAGGCTGGCGGGGAGCAATAAAATGGCAGGGGAAATGGGAAATATCGCAACTCAACCAATTAGTGACGTTATGCGGGGGATCGGCACGAATTCTGCGCCTTCGACTGTTCAATAAAAGGTAATAAAGCCATCCGGGGCAAAACTCCCACGGAAAGAAGAAAGCTGAAAGGGTCGCGTTTTCGCGTGTCGTGTCATATCGTCAAAAGTTAAATTCCGTCTCGTCAGTCGTTCGGGAATTGAAACAATTTCGGTAATTACGGTAATCGTCACGTGATATTTCTATTTGAAAAGCTGATGCTCAGCTGTCAGAAATTCGAACGCGAAAATTACTACGTAGCTTTTGCTTTCTAAGGGAAGCACGCGTTCGCGTTTTAACGTCTCGTTGTTCTTAAAGAATATCGGCCAAATTTAATACGCATAGAGTTCTCCAAACAGTATACCGTTTTTAAGACATAATCCGGTATTTAACTTTAGCAAATTTTTATGAAGGTTTAACCGCTGGCGTACCTCTCTTGGGTTTCTCTTTGCAACCCTCAACAAATAGATTCGCAATTCCACAATGACGTTCCAGAACCGTACTTCGGTACTTCGTTCATACAAATGCTGAAAGTTGGCGGATTTGTGTAGCTTCATCGGTGAGATTCCTCGATTATTATTAGCCCATGCAGTGAAAAATCTATTCTTACTTTGAAATGCTTATTATAAATATAAATGAAGAAATAAATTTAGCTATTTAGCTACACTAACGATTAATTCTGCCACTAGTCAACGTCTGTAAACATTTTCTTCTTCGATGACATGTTCTACACATTTTTTTCAACTAGGAGCAGATAATTTTTCTACTTCACTTCTAATTAATTCTATTGCCCCAGAACTAAACTTCGGCGAGGTATTGTTTCTTCTTAAACTGGGTTTCAGCTGCCCCACATCAGTTCCATCGAATTAAAATTGCAAATTAATCTGGTGGAAGACGGTCAACTTTGAATTCCCCCGTCTTAATAACTGCTTCTTTGTGTAGGAATTTTCAAAATACATATCATTTTCAAGCAAAAAAATTTGAATGACTTCTTTGGTCTATGACGAATTCGGTATTTTTTCGCTTGTGCACAATGGTAGCTGGCGTTGTCATGGCAATTATTCAGGAAACCATTTTTCAAATATGCCTGCTCTGATGTTTTCGTGGTAGCGAACCTTAGCTTCTTTGACATCTTTTGCAGAAAGCAAAGCGTTATCTACCCAACCAGCTTCGGAGACCGCGTGTAGTATGATAATTCGTTTGCCCGCGAAACTGGCACATCAAACGAACATTTCCTGCTGTTACCATCAGTCCATCCTTTCTTGACGGTATTGGTGGCTATTAAACCAGGTCTCATCTAAATATGTGATGTGGACGTTTTTAGCACTAATTTCTTGGGTTTCTGTCAAATATGTTGCTCTCCACTGCGATATTCGTGATTCCATCAAAACTCGTCTCTTGTTAGTGGTTTTGTAATAAAAACTAATTCTTCGTACGAAAGCACGCAAACTCTTGGCAATCAATGTTTCAATCACTACGCAACTCTTCATATATATCAACCGTCTCACTGGTGCATGTCAAGTATACTTTTTGGGAAACCATGATGTTTCCGCGTTTTTCTTTCTTGGACACCATTCACAACTTTGGCACGTGCTGTGGCATACGGTGTTTTAGTCATCTCGGATGTTAATTTTATAGCTCCACGTTCCCCAGATGTCGATTTCAGAAACAGAAACACATTTAACATTATAACTTTGGCAGCAACCGGCAAATGTGTCCGAGTCTTTGATCCATTTGAATTTGACGAATCTTCATCATCAACTATTATTACGTCGTCGATCACAATCTTAACTGCTTCATCGCTGGATATCGCAAGTGACTAACAATATAATATCATAATATCATAATAATATAATAGTCAACTTTATTTCACATTGTGTCATAAATACATTACCTACATTACCATTGCGAAGTCAATAGCATAAAAGTTTGTAAAAACGGTAGGTCGTCCGGAGAACTCTACCACCCATCTTATAGCATCAAACATTAACAATTACAAAAAGGAATAGTCTCACAGTTCGAGTAAAAACATCTTCCATATTAAGTTTTTTCACTCAAAACATTCTCACTGCTGTTTTGAAACCAACATTTGCACAAAACTTTTATTTTATTGTGTTTTGTTGATTTATTGACTGAGTGAATGATTTTAGCAAAAAAAAGAAAACATTAAATTAAGCATTTTAAAAATTCTATGCAAAAATATAATACTTTATTCACACGTTGCTAATTTAAATGTGGGTATTTTTAGAAAACGCGACTACAGCTCTACTCTGTAGTGCAAAATATCCAATTACGCGCTGATCAGTCAATGATACTTTTAAATCACCCTCTGATTTTTTTACATGTGCTTGTTCATAAAAATGTTTGTTTAAAAAAATAAATTATTAAATTAAACAATTAAAATGAAATAAATTTAAGTTTATATGTATCATTATTTTATTTGTTCTCAAAAAATGTGTTTTTAGCATATATCCATTAATTTAAATGAAAATAGAATTTATTGTATTTCTCATAAAATATTGAGGAAAATATCCTTTATGCATTTTCTTAATAATTTGTTCAACGATGTAAATTAAGTTAAATATAAATATTTTCCAGATCTGTTTTATTTAATAGATGGCAGCACCATACTTAAAAACATAAAATAAACGTCTTCTAAACGGTCATCAGGCGGGTGTTTAAAAAGTGAAGGTGACTGAATCTCTGTTTTTGGTCTGTGAGCAATGAAAGGCTAACTTTAGACGCTCAGATTTATTTTTGGAAACTCACCGAAGGCTTTAACCTAAGTGTAACCTAGACCTATTAAAAATTAGCAGTTTGGAACCGCACATTTGTCATTTAAATATTAATAAAATGAAAAGAATTGCAATTAAAATTTGCAATACGGAATACAGTTGCATCACCTTTCTCTTATATGTGTGAAGATGGACGGTTAAACTAACTTGGAGAAGGTTCTTTATTCACAGTTTAAAAGTGCTGCTATAAACAGCGCTTTCTCTTATAAAACTTATTTGCTACTGCTAAACTAGATAGTATGTAAGACGTTGATAAACCTATTCAGTCACTCGTTTATTAAACACTCTCTCAACAGCACTCTGATCTTAGTCGTGACTAAAGTAACATTTATCAAGCGTGCTGTATAATGTACTATTAAAGTATTTTTGTTTTTAAATAGGTTAGAATCAGGCCTCAATTTTCATTTCAGGACAAATCGACCACAGTTTTAGAGGATGACACTGACGGTGATGTCGGAGAGAACGACTTTTTAGAAAATGGACGGGATGCCTTAACCGGAACGCCAGACTCAGCAAACTCACGCAACGATAAGGAATTAGAAGAGCTCATGGACGTAGAACACCATCAGGTAACTAATATTATCACTTTGTACCCTTCTGCCTCATTTGCATCAGAATTATGACCGACTCACTCTCAAACCAAGTGAAAGTGACGACCATTTTAAAATCAATAGTTTGCAGTGCTTTTTAACTATAACTAATATAAACGAAAAAATATAGAAACAGCTTTACATTCAATATGACATATATACATATATACAATGGTCTAAACATATTTTTATATATGATGATTCGGTGCTTCTTTTCTTAATGACCTAAAACTGAGTAACAAATAAACAGAAGCCTTAGACGTGTTTTGTGTGCTCGGCGATATGCATAAAATTTTGTTTAAAAAATTGAATACTGTGCTGCAAAACACTTGGAATGTTGTCAATGGCATATGGTGAATGCACTTTGAGCAAAAAAAATGTTGTAAGTGGTACAAGCTGTTCCAAGATGGATGAGAAGACGCCGATGACAAACCTCGCTCTGAACCCCACAGCGTGTCAATAACTGATGAAAGCGTTAAGGAAGTGAAATCATGGGTAAATGGTTATTATGTCGGAACGAAAGCCCAGCCGTTCCAATGGAGGAACTTAGAATCGCCAAGACCGAAAAAAGCACGTCAAATTAGATCAAATGTCAACGTTTTGCTTACTGTTTTCTTGGATTATCGTGACGTAGTATATCAAGAGTTCTTACCACAATAATGTACGGTCAGTAAACAATTCATGGATTTAGCATAGCCCTGCTCATCGTTGCTTGTGTCTTTTTGGCCAAAACCAAAATCATGCCTCAGCCACCATATTGACCGGATATGGCCGCCTGCGACTTTTTCCTGTTCCCAAATCTCAAAAAACCCAGCTTTGGAACGTTTGAGGAGATAAAGAAAAAATCGCCGGAAGAACTCAAGGCTATACTAGAAAGTGCTTACCAGAAGTGCTTCGAGGATTGGAAGAAACGTTGTCAAAAGTGTATTATATCTGGGTGGAGATTACTTTGAAGGGAGCAATATTCATGTTGATGAGTAAATAAATACTTTTTGATAAAATCTAGAAATCACCTTATTTTTGAACACACCTCGTATATACAGATATCCCTAAACCTTCGTAGTGTCTATATTTACACAAAAACACAAGAAATAAAATTTTAAGTACTTCTTTATCCATCTTTTTCATGATTTTTGCTTTTTAATTTAATTGGTAAATAAGCGTTATTATAAAAAAAATGATACTGATGGAAATGTAGTAAAAACCTACTGTATCTTATTGCTAGGCTGCAACTGCCAAAACCTGCATCATGCATGCCTTAAGCGTGGTGAGCACCCCAGCATCTCAACCAGGTTCGTCACCGCCGCCGCTGGCCGCTGTGGCACCGCATACAGAAAATAGCGATCCATGGAAGCCCCAGACCAGTCTTAGTCCCAAGTTGGAACGCGAAGCTTACTAGAGATGTTGCCTAACCTGAAATTGACAGGTTGACGTATAGTTTAATTGGCAGAGCCTTCCTTGAGATAATATGAATTTTTTTTATTGTGATCGTGCAGATTTTTTGAATTGAAAACTGCTAACAAAAGATTAATGTTGTTATTGAGTTAGAATGCACCGAGTATCTGTGAAAACTAAAGTTATCCTTTCAAATTTGGTTAGTAGGGTCTTTGTTACAACTTTTTCTTCTGTCGATAACATTTGTTTTGTTTTGCTTAGGTTTCATTGATCGTTGCTTGTTTACATACACATAATACGCCACAAAACGATCCCTCACTAATTAGGCAAAACAAAACAAAATTGTGTTAATAATGCCTCTCATTATGACGAACTAACGTAATAATCATTTGTTGATATCAGTTTCTATTATATCAAAATTATTAGCGGAAATCAAGCAAAAAAAAAATATCGTAACTAGAATATAAAATGATTATTTTGTAAAATATAGTATAAATAACTAAATTATGAACAAATCGATAGAAATTAATTAAGTTGGTTTATTGTTGCCGTACGTTGAACAATTTCTATTTAGTACGTTAACATGATGTAATATTTGGTACTAATGTATATATTGTGTGTAAATTAATAAAAAAACAATTTGACATATCATAAACATATATAGAAACAAAAACAAATCATATTTAGGTTTACAAATTATAGTAACTTTTAAGAAAATACGTTTCTTATATAAACTTGATTAGTGTCGAGAGAGCATTAGCTGTATCGAACAAATTGCGTAGTGTTTAGGGCCATTAGAGAAATTTTAAATTAATAACTATTTTACGAAGGGTACCTTGCAACTGCCACGTTCTGCTTTTAACGAAATATTAAATGCATACCCAGTTAATCGGCGTAGCGAATTTCGTTAAAGCCCTAATTGGCAGTAACATGATACAAATTGTAGTGTGCTAACAGATCTCTAGGAAATATGCTTACAAGACCAAACATTTTACACATTATTACGATTATTAACCACAAACAATTAAACTTGATTTATTTCAACATCGCGCTTGACTATAACTAACAATGTTTTGCATATAATTTTCAGTTTACCTATTGGAAAAGGTGTACAGTTTTTAATTGTCCTCAAATTTTATGCGCAAAAGGGGTCTAGTTAAAAATTGTCATCTTTCTGTCAACCAACCAAAAATATTTCTTATAGATCCCAGTTGTGTGAAGTGGCATTTTACAAAATCTGTGTTAAAGTGCTAAATGCTTTTTTTTCAAAACTTATTGAAACAAAGTGCAGTATTTTTTTATACTGTGTGATTCTGGAAAGTCCACGACCGGTTTGGCTTTTTGTGTCTGTTAAAGAGGTAGATTATTTTCATTTGAAGCAATTATTTTCCAGCACATCATAAAAAGCTTAAGTTTCACGGTATTTGCCGCTCTTTACTTTTAATATATGTGTAACTATTATCATGTAGTAGATATCTATAAATAAATGTCCTCCATTATAATTCACTTTTTATTACTCACCTGATCTCCTGCTCCAGTTGTGTAAAAACTTATAACAAAGTATTGACATTTTCTCCAGGTTTATTTAAAAAAAAATGTACACCATAATGTGGTGAGAAATAATATTCCGACCTACCAGGACGATGCGCTTGGTCGTCTTAAGATGCTAGCAAAAATTGTTCATTTTTTCGGATTTTTTGAAAAAAGTTAATAACATTAAGATGAATGATTAAATAGACAGAATTTCAAAAATATATATATTCATTTGTTAAATTTCGTTTCTTGGAATCCTCAAGCTGCAAATAAATTGTAAATTTAGGTTTTCTATTAGATTTATTATTATTTAATATATATTATCTTATAATATATAATGATATACTATATTTTTACAAAACTTCTGGATTCCTCCGCCGTCGGTTTTTGTTGACTCGAACTTTCACGTTTCTCCAATCATCCTGTTGGCTTCTTCAGAGCTTGACTGAAGCTCTAAATTCGACGCGACAAAAACCGATGCAGGAGGAATCCAGAAGTTTTGTAAAAAGTATTACAGTTCCCTTGAAAAATATTTTACGTTAGTTAAGAGCTTGTCGCGGTTTTTAAACTATGTAGGTATACTAAATTGTTGAGAAACCTGAAATATGAGTGATTCTTTACAGATATACTTTTGCGCAAACGTAATAATTATTCATTCCCAAGGTGTAGGACAATATATATTAAAATCTAAAAAAATGTCGACATATTAAAAGAAAAGATATATAGGGTGTTTCATTTAAAGAAAGTTTAAACCCAGTTTTGATATGAGTCGATTTACACTCAAGTACAACTGTTAGAGTCAGACGATTATATTATATATTAAGTATTGTCAGCATTTGTCACTTAATTAGCGTTGTAGAACTGACGCACCAATTGACCGAAATAATTTTAAAATTAAAATGAAATTTATATTTATTTATTTACATTTATTTATATTGGGCATTACGTCACCGTCGCGTCGCGTCGTTCTAATTAAATGGAGACGATATTTTTATTGGGATTCCCCGAGACGCCAAGAATTGTATTCAGCTATTCATTGAAGGTTAATTGGATATCACAAACGCAGAATAATTTATTATAAAATACATATTATTATTAAATAATGATAGTCGACACTCTGCAATGGCAAGATTTTATTTAAAACATGTTGATCAAATTTGACTAGTCAACTAAGAAGGGGTCAATTGACCATGGTCATTTGACTAGCCCCAACACTACACTAATCATTACTCAATTGAATGATCGGTTACTAGCACTACAAACATACACTTGTTATTGATAAAAGTGTAAATTGGGCATTAAACATGAATTGTATCCTCTCTTACTGTAAAACATCCAACTCATAAATTCCGGGAAAGAATTAGGAAAACGGCCTACCACGAACACACCATGCGCCACCAAGAATAAGAAAAAAGAAATCGTGACTCAGAAATATAAGAAAGTGGACACATACAGCGGAAACAGTCTGATTCACAAGGCTCAAAGCAAAAAAGAAGAATGGTGGTCGCCAATCTCAACAGAGAAGACATATTGGAGTGGGTATCCTTTCCACTCTGCAGAACAATACCACATTTAATGATAGCAGGAATTAGCTTTCCCTAAACTAGATAAATTACAACTAGGTCGTGCAGCTTTCCCAAAGAACCCATCCTATGCCACTATCGAGACCACCTATTAAGAGCACCAATGGTTAAGTATTCCATTATTTTCCGCTTGGCCGTTGACTCCCAGTGTCAATAATTTATTCTACGTTATTGTTTACGCCACCGCAAGGTATAAATATTTGCTTTGGATGTACGAAAAACAGATCTGCTTCCCTTAAATACAACACGATGTTCACGGTTCACGAAACTTTATCGCAATCCCCAATCGGTCTTTATCAAATTTGCACAGAACCGAAACGGGGTTGACTATAAATTCGTTTAAACAGCAACAAGCGGCAAGCGCCAGGGTTGTCTAAAGGGTTAATAAATCTCTGTTTCGGCGGAAAGTTACAAAACACAACACTAGGCGGTTTTATCAAACAACAACAAGCATCAATCATCCGTGATTGGGCCGTCATTACCGCGCTCTGTATTCTCATCGTTTTCGATGTTTCATCCCCGACACCACCCGAGCTAATTATTTAAATAACAGACCTCCGGATGTTTAACGAATTTTATTTGATAACGTCGGACGTCGGAAAAGGCAAAAATCTAGGGAAGAATTTTTATTTTATCCAATTTTTTTAGGTTCATAAAGAGTTCTTTCTGCCTGTAACTGTCTTTTAATCCACTTACTGAATATTTTAGAGATTTTTTTTAAGTTACCCATATCAAAGAATGAATAGTATCTCAGCCCTAATTCTTTATCAGCCGAATATTGTACCTCTTCAAGTTTCATTTACTCTGCGTCTCATTGAATATTCCGTGACTTTTATCCTTTTTCTAGCTGATTTGAATTCGGATTTGCGAATATTATAGTGGACCAGTTTGTTATTGACCTTAATTAAAAAAAAACGTATTCCTAGTGGAAATGCCGGCAAAGTAAGCACGGACATATTGTAAGGGAACTCCCAAAAACTATATCCAATGTTGCTATACAGAAAATAAACCATTTTCCGTTCGAATCACGCCAAATAATAATTTAAGCCACCTTGAAACGCTTGGAAAGATATAAAACTACTCCCAATAATGAAGTAACCAAATATCGGTTATATTTATTTCGCAATCCCAAAAAAAACCTGACGTTGTTCCAGATATTGAATTCGATCATTTAAGAGCCACTTAGGAGAGCTTCGAAATGATGTTGCTACTCAACCACCTTGAAACGGTAGGGAAGATATATCCCCAATAATGAAATAACCAAATATTCCTTTCATTTATTTCGCAATCTCAAAAAACTCTGGCGTTGTCCCAGATATTGAATTAAACCATTTAAAAGCAACTAAGTAGAGCTTCAAAATGATGTACTACTGAACCAGCTTGAAATGGTCGGGAAGATATATAACTACCCCCGATAGTGAAATAACCAGATATTCGTTATTTTTTTATTTCGGAAACTCAAAAAACCCTGACGTTGTCTCAAATATTGAATTAGACCGTAAAGTTCACCATTATCAAAGTAGAGATTTGGTTTTTGACTCGAAATTGACCCACAAAGCACATCCATCGATCATGGATAACCGCGATATTCAGGAAACTTTCTTAATTTTATTTGTACTTTTCATTTTTACATTTATTTAGCTGTTCATTTAAAGTTTTCAGGGACAATATTTGCGCACATTTGTGGGATTAATAACAATTGCATATTATGTTTCATTCTAAAATATTTCCAGTATAGGGAACGCTAATATTCGACAGTGGACTAAATTCTGTACTTGATACCGTTTAGAGAAACAGGGTGTCCAATTTAAAGAAAACATTATTTGAATCGTTTCGGGATTAGGAGCAATAATTATTATGCCATAGCAATAAAACTTAAACAGGATGTGCAACCTAATATTTTAAATACGACTACCATTTGAACACTAATTTTAGGGCATCTAATAATTGGGGGTAGTTTTATATCTTCCCGACCGTTTCAAGGTGGTTGAGTAGTACATCATTTTGAAGCTCTTCAATGGTCTGGTTGAACATCTGGGACAACTTTTTAGAGATTGCGAAATATTAATTAAATTATTATTTCTGGTGACGCGAGCAGAAAAGGAATAGCAACATTGAATATTTTTTTTTTAGGTAAGTGCTTTTAATTTAGGTAAATAATCAACTGGTCCACTGTAATAATCGCAAATCCGAATCCAAATCCAAATCTAACTTCAGCCACGTCTTCTTTTGTTGGTTGTAGAATTAAACTCTTCATGATTCCCTAGTTTTTTCCACACTCATTATGTTGTGTGTAATTATTTATTTTAAAACATTGTTACAAAATTAGGACAACAATACAACAACAACGGGGTCAAAGCAGGAGCCGCTCTATTGACACCCTTTTTTTAATAAAAAAATTATACATAAATTCCTATAGATCGAATCTCTGATTCTTTCAATAAATGATCACCAATCTCTCTATCAACTCGAAACTCTGTTAAAAGTTTCAAGAATTCTACCAGATGCTAGTTATAAGATATGGGTTTCTCACTTGTGTTGACAACTTTGGCTATAACCATTAATTACCATTAAATACCTCACATACTATTTGATTTCTCATTAGACATTCTCTTAAGTGTCGAAAACAGCTCTGAACGAACTGGTTAGGGGTCGTAAAATTTCTGTTCTTCAGAGTGGAGACTGAAAAATTTGTCCCTCTCCATCTCTCATTGAATCATTCATTCCTTTTTTTCACGTTCTATCTGGTTTTTCTTACGTCCTTCTTAAAAAGTTAATCATCGTCATTATATAGTTGTGTAAAATATTTTTGCTCTTTTAATATTTATCTTATTCCACTAGAGTGTGGACTTGAAAACTCGTACACATGTCTGTACTTGTTGATATATGTCTGTCCAATTTATATGTTTTTCTTTCCCGCCATAGCTTAGCGCTAAAACTATTGAAACAGTAAAGTGTCACACGCAAATTTTAAAAACTTGTATCGCGCGATATCCTATTCTCCAGAGCATTCAAACGCAATTTGTTAAAAATCAACGGGGCAGTCAAGCATAAAGGAAATGCCGCTCCCACGCTTGCCCTAAAACTTCAATTTCTGGCTACAAAATTTCTATAAAAATCCACAAAAGAATGTTTTAATAAATTTTATGAAAGCGTCTGGCCCGTATAAAACCGGAACTTGTTAAAAGTGTCATAACGATGCAAGTTATTAAAACTTGATGGAGGTAGAAAAATACAACAATATGCGGTTGAGATTAGGGCGCCATTCCTATTATTAATAATCCGCGAACTCTACACGCGACGCTGTTAAGTTTTTTAAAATTTTAAAATAGTAATGCTGTTGATCGGAAATAATTCAGCACATAATATGAAAT